GTGAAGGAATGGATGAGCTGCTGAGATGACCTGGTGTCTCTCCACAAAAGCCACCAAAGCTGAGCATATTTAAGCCAGCAACAAGTGACCTGCACAGTGTTAGTGCTGTAGGCAGCAGTGGTGTCAATGAAGCAGAGATGTTGGGTTGGGGAATCTCACCACGGTCTTCCTCTCTACATGAGGGCAATGAGAGCTGTGCTGAGCCCATGGATCAGCAGAAATGCCAGGGCACCCAACAGCAAGAGGTCACCTCCCACCAGGCAGGGGAATAAAGGGGGGAAGGAGAATCCATGCCTCTTTTAATAACAAGCTTTATAGTTATTGTGAGGACTGGAAGGTGGCAAAGCAATCATAGTAGTGATGGGACGCTGCCAGCGGATGTTTAATATGCTGTGACACTGTGTTCAAATTTTAAAACTTGGTTGTGCAACACCACCCTCAGCCATGGGATCATACCAGGAGAAAAAGTTCAGATGAAAAACCTCACAGCCTGCACTGAAAAAAACAAGGATATCACAGGGATGGTAAGATTAAGTATTCATGCCTAGTTTTTTATCTCTTTCAGTTGTGTCCTGTATTTGAACAAGAGTTGATGTCTTGAGTTCAGCATACAGTGAATTTCTGAGCAGAGTTATTACCTCTGGTGCCTGGAGCAAAAACACCCCTTGGGATGTTTGACAGGATATAATGTCTGACTTGATGATGGAAACAAAAGAAGTCCTCTCCGTGGCAGATTTAGTCTCTTGAATTTACTGATAACGCACTCTCCTCCAATAAATCAAAATTCCACTTCACCCACTCAGATGTCTGTTCTGTACACTGCTGACACACACGGAAATCCAAACCTCTCATAAAAGCAAAAGAAAATGTAAAATATGTTCTGATAAACAAAGAGAGACTTCAGAAGAGGGGAGAGAGGCTTGGTTTACATTTTAAATGAACTCTCTGAAGCCCGGTTACAGAGGATGAGAGAGACATAAAGAGGTGTCGATGCGGGGTAGTTCTGTGCTGGGACTTTGGTGTGGGAGTTAGTTTGCACTCTGGCAAATCCTCCCTGTCCCTCCCCTTGCATCCCAATGAACTCACCCTAGAAAACTCTCATCCAGTGCAAGGTCACCCTGAAGAGATCTCCCTCTCCCAGCAATACATGGTAAAATGTTATTCTGGCCTCCAGGAAAAAAATTTTCTTTGCCTGGACATAGGGTAGGTGTGATCCAGCTGGCTGGATGGAGGTATCTGCGTCAGAGCTAGTCCTTCCTGCTAAGGGGAGAGGAACAGGCATCTACAGGACAGGACTCTGCTGCTGCTGCTGTAGACACATAAAATAGGGTGGATGGATTGCCCCTAAAAGCATTTGTTTGTCTCCCTTGATGGGACACTGGGGTGATGTACAGAGGTGGAGGCATCTGCAGGGCAGTGAATGTCAGAGCACCTGAATCCTGACTTTGCAGGTAGTGAGAGAAATTCTTTGGGGGGCAAACCCTACACAGGGTGAAAGCGTTGGTGCTTTTACTCCACCTGAATGAGCGTGGATTTAGTCCTGACTTTTGCCAGTTGGCTGAAATGAAGAAGAGTTGAAATGAAGCTGGACCTTCTGCAGCTTTTCCCGTTTAGGCTGGTCAGCATGGGAAGGAGCAGAGGAGCGAGGGAGGGGATGCTGCATGGTAGCCATGGATGATAAGGATGGCAGGGAATAAAACAGAAGTCCTGGTCCATACCCAGTTCCCCATGGTTCCCAAGGGAGCTGACTCTGATGTGCACCCAGCAACGGAACCATGGACTTCTTACACTATCTTGGTCCCCACTCAGAGGGGGACCCAGTCCCTGTGCCTTCCCAGCTGGATACAACTCAGTTACCTGATCTAAGGTGGCCACTGTCGTTCCCTGGAGAAACCCTGCCAGGGGGCTATTACCTGATCTGTTTTAGAGCTCATAGGATGGGATATCTGCTCCCTGGGACTGCCTACACCTCTCCTGACTGCTCATTGACTCCATCTACTAAGGAGGATAAATTCCTCTAAATGCAACTCAGCAAAATACTGAAAGCAGTTTGAATCCCCCTAACTGTTCAAAGCAGATTGAGGGCTAATTTAGCCCATCAACCCACAATCCTTGCTTGGCAGGGAAGCCCTCTGTTCTTTCCTCTTATCCCAGCCCTTGCGGGGAGCCTGGGAGGTGCCAGGGGGGCTCCCCAGAGCTCAGTGAGGGGTTTCTGGAGCTGGAAGCCCCGACAGACAGCACAGATTGAAGGAAAACAGGCTGTGTTAATTTGTCCTGGGGTCTCGGCTCTCCCTAAATCAGCATTCTGTACAGTCAGCCACAGCCAGCCTGCACGTTCCCGTAAATCAAACCCGAGTGAAATGTTGACAGAAGAGCTGAGTTTCATGCACTCATTCAAGAAGCAGCCTGGGTGAAGGGATGTCAAATTAAAGTCCGCCCCCTCACAGTCCCCCCCCCATTTCACCCAGCTCCCCCATTCCAGCAGCAAACTGGAGCACAAACAGCCTCCCATAAGACAGGGCCGGGTGTGCAGGAAACAGGGGTGATGTGGGGACCCAGGCTCAAAAATGCCAGCCCCCCTGTCCCCTCCACACACTTGCTTTGCGTGGGTGAGGAGCTGTCGTGTGTGACAGATGAGAGCTGCCAAGCAGGCAGGTCAGCGCTGTGGCGAGGGTCAGGGCTATTTCGACGGCTGCAAGATGCTCTAATTATAGTGCTGGGAAGGCTTGGAAGCTGCCAGATTAAATACGGGATATAACATGGCACGGGAGCTGCAGAGTCAAGCCACTTGTTTTGTCCTCGGTTGCTTAAACTCAGGGACAAAGACACGGAGGAAGGAAGAGCAAGTTTAAGGTCATAATTGAGCCCCAGGAATTCCGAACATATGTATAATTAGACACAGAAAAAAAAAAAAAAAAACCAAACCAAAAAAAAGCCAAGGCAGCCTCATGTTTATTGCCCTGGCTCTGTCTCCTGGGCTTTTGGCAACGTGGTTTTTCAGCTGAGCTTCAGCCAGTTGATTGGGCTGTTAAATATCCTTCACTGGGATAAACAGCTGAGGAAGCCCTGTGGCTCACTCCAGCACGGTGCCTGTGGTGGGTGTTGCTCTTCGGGAGGGCTCAGGCAAGTACATAACGCTCTATATACTGCAATATTCCTCTCTCTGCTGCCTGCTCCATGCTCTGCTCTGCCTCCCTGCAAAACTTTTGCAGGATTGCTCTTTGGCGTTACAAGATTTACAGCAGCATTTCCCGCAGTTTTTATGCTCTGATTACCCTTGGCATCCTCTCCCTGGATAGTTGTGAGTTACCCAGCCCGCAGAAGCCATCAGTTGAAGCATCTCAGAGCAGTCACCTGCCCTGGGCAGCGGGGGATTTTGCAGGAGGTGGGATGAGCAATCACACTGCCCCAGCACTCAGCTCTGCTGCTGGTTTTGCTGAGTGGCCTTGGGCGAGTCACTTTGCCACCTGGTGCCTCAGTTTCCCCTTCTGACAGACGGGAAGAGCAGCACAGAGCGAGCAGGGTGAAACACCCTCAGAGACTTTGATAAACACAGCAATCAGCAATGGGAAATGGATTCCTGAAACTGTTGCCCATTCCCTGGAATGCACCAGCATTCCCCATATCTTACTGCTCCAGGGCCTCCCCAGCTGCTTTAGAGATCCCCATGCCCCATGTCATACCTCCACCTCTCCTGCACTTCAGCAAATTCTCCAACTATCTTTCTCAGAAGCTCAGTGGGGAGTATTACGTTCATTTTCTTTCTTTTTTTACCCCAGAGATTCCCCCTCCATCCCTTAAACTGGGCAGCCTGACAGGCTCTCACCTCCCTTCCCCAGTGCCCACTGGGCAGTGAGGACACTGCCTGCTCCTCCTGGGCATCTCGAAGACCAGCGGTACCAAAGGGTTGGCTGGACCATGAGGGCATCAAGCAGCAGGTCAATCAATGACTTTCCCCAGCTATTCCAGCCTAGAAGAGAGGGTGTTTATTACTCGTGGTTTTTTTCTGTAGTTATGCAAATATTCACACCATGCACTGTGGTCATTTCTTTTTTTTTTTTTTAATTTGGGTAAGAAAGAGCTGGGAACCAGTATCTGATGTAATGCCAGAGCACTGGCAGAGCATTTAGAACCCATTTTGATCTGTTTGCTCCAATACTATTCCTCAATCATGGAAAATCAGAGACGCTGTAAACAATATACTGTAAATACAGCTAAAATCAAATACACTGATACCCTTTAATTTTATCTAAGACTGAGTCTTAGAGAAATTTATTCCAGATGTAACTCCAGTAACAACAGTAAACATTGTACCAGAGTGGAATTCAGTCCATTTTCTTTTCCTTACTGACAAAGGATTTATGGAAACTACAAAACTGCTTTTATGAGCACAAGAGAGGGTGAAAATGCACAGCATTTCCCCTCAGTGGTCACTGTGGCTATGGGGCTTTCTTCCACTCTATTTACAAATTATTAAACATATTGACCACAGCTTCATGTTTTGAAATCAAGAAAAAAAAGAATCCATTTTTATTACTTTATTAACCTTTTTTTTTATTTAACCTGGTAATAAAACTACTCAACTGTGTGGTGAAAACTTGATTAAAATTTGCCTCAGCTCCAGGAGCCACACAGGCAAATGCTCCAGTAGTTATCTAAGTTGGTTTCCCAGTAAAAGCTTAGCTCTGCTATCGGATTCTGTTATGCGGCACATAGATCCCTGCTTTACAGCCAGCATCATTTCAGGAGGTAGTTTGAAAGCTTTCGGGCTCTCCCAGTGATTGCTTTGCTTTTCTTCCACAGCAATTACAGTCCCTTCATTTAATTTCAATGGAAACTTTAGTGTTTTAGACCTTGCCCACGTAGCTGAATGCTCATCTCTGGATCTTATTTCCAGTCCTCAGGAGGACCGGTTTTGATGACCTAGTCTGATTACAGCATCTTTGACAGCTTTAAAGAAATTTGCTCCGGGGAAGGAGACAGCTGCTGCTCTGATGAAGGATTTTTCTGAGCAGGCCTCCCAAGCTAGACATGTCAGTATGAGATGCTGCCTACGTTTTTCATCATGACCAACAGGTACGTCTAAAAAAGGTTTTGTGTTCTTGCCTGCATAGGCCAGAGTGGAGGGAGCCTCTGTCATAAAACTGCTTAACCTGCTTCTGTCAAAACGCTGTGGCTTCTTGGCTTTTTTTCCCTTAAGCTGTATATTCAGCCTCTCTGGGAACTGTGGACCAATCTTTATTCTGCTGTAAACTTGGAAACTGTCATTGCTCCTTCGGTTCATACAGACTTTAGGGCAGGAACAGTCTCTTTACAGTATCTGTAGCTCTTATACAGCCCTGGTCTTAAACAAGACTTATGAAAATGAGCATATTAGTGATGATCACTAATAACCATTATTAGAAGCTGCAATAAAATCTCTTAGCAGACTTTTTAGAATTGAATCACTATAACAGCAGTATGACAGCCTGTTCCTCTAGAGCTTATTTTGCCATTAATGTTGAAAACAAGGTAGACAACATCTCAGATCCCCAACAACCCCCTTTACCTCTAGAAAGGAGGTCTGACCTGCTTAATGTTGCATGGATCAGGAAAGCTCTATATTCCCTTCCTAATGCAGTTCCCAAACCCAGGAATTAACCTCCATTTTGCTTATATAAAGCACTTATAGTGACTGGGTCATTATTCAGTCAGGAATGTTTTGTAATAAAAAGTTTTGACAAGTATCTGAATTTGCAAAATTCACTGTCCTGGAGCAGCTACCTTACTTTTTGGTGTGCAAACAAAGCAAAGATTTCAGATTTTGGGGGGTCTGGTTGCACATGCCTAGAGCCAGAGCTACTAATGCGTGGAATGTTGGGCAGATTTGGGGTAATTCATCCCCAAAACATCACCATCCTTGGTTTTGTGTAAAGAGACTCCTCCAGCCCTGGTTTTGTACAAAGAGATTTCTGTGCAAGCAGATGATTTGAAGGACTGTGAGCAGTTGATTTGAAGGACTGGGAGCAGCTTAGTACACTGGAGCACAGGCTTCTCCTCTCCAGAGACAGCCCATTTCCTCTGCTACGTGCTGTCCCCAAATCCAGCTCTGGACTGACAAATAAAACTGATAACCACCGGTGCCAAGTGCTCCAAAATCTCTGAATTCTTTTTCCTCCTCTATATTCCCAGAAGAAAAAAAAAAAAAAATTAAAAAAAAAGAGTGCCATTTTCCTACCTTGATTTCTATTTTGTAAAAATAAAGGAGATGAAGATGTCCTTTCTGGAATAGCAGTGAGGAGACAGGGTACACAGAACAGACAGGGTATCATGGCCATGGGAACCCACCAAACTTGATTAGTCCAGCACTTACTTGGTCTCATTCTCCATCACTGATGCTGGTTCACACCAGGTTCTTCTGAGAGACATGGCAGAGTGGTGGCTTCAGGGTTCCTTTGAGGAAATCTCCTCTTCTAGTCTCAAAGCTTTTTGTATGTGCTTTAGCCAAGGGACATGTTTTGCATCCGAGGAAAATATGCAGGCTTCAAGAAAGCACCTTTCTCATGATACCCATCTATCTGAAACAGGAGAGGCATTCAGCATCTGGTTCACCCATCACTCTTCCACAGCAGGCTGCAGCCAAGTCTAAAGCATTTGCTACCACCGTGACGAATACCAGGTAAAGTCACCCAGCACAGTCTGAAGGAACCTGGGCTGGAGGAGCAGGCTGTCTGCTGGGCTTAGAATTTGTGCAGAGATGGGTGGATGTGAGGAAAATTCATTGAAAGAGAAGGAAGCGTGAAGCAGACATGCTTTCTTCACTTGTCTACTGCAAGCAGAGTATATTATTCAGAAGGTTATGCTGTGTATCAGTGCGTTGGGAGTGCCAAAATGCTGGAAGTTCAGCAGTTGTAATAAGCCAGTGACAGCAGACAAGGCAGTGGGAATATGACAGATGAAGTTACTTGGCCTTTTGGCAGAAGCCAGTAGAGTCATAGCTCAAGACAGCAGAGTGCCAACCTTACAGGCAGATTGTGCCCCTCACAGTAACATTACTTTAATAGAAATTATTGCTCTAGTCAGATAGGAAACTTGATATCTATATTTTGGGATCAACAGCACTGTGCCCTAGTCTATGTGTTTCATATTATTTCACTTAGCCAAAGAGCATATGCCATTGTACGTGCACTAAAAAATTTCAGTTCACTGCAATATTCTTTCAGGGGTGTAAGGAGAAAGGCAGCTTGACCCAAAATGATAAGAGATAAGTTTTGCTCATTTAATGGAGATCCATCAGTCCTATAGATGTGAGCAGCAGAGTTGAAAACCTGCCTGGACTCTGCATGCAGAACTCTTCACTGGAGTCAGTGGCATCCCTGATTGTGGACTGGGGGACAACCAGGTGTCCTTTTACTTTCTTTTAGAAATAGTGCACAAAATACCACTTGTAAAGAAAATATGTCAGTCAAACAGAAGGCAACTTTTCTTTAAAGAAGTCTTATAGAATCTCTTGCTAATAAAATTTTGGTTTGGACCATCAAATATGTCCATCAAAGAAATTGACACTATTTCCCAGCTCTGGCACTATCCATGCAGCAAGTGACATATCTTGCCGGAACAGGGAGAGTTAGGAAAAAGACATTTCAGTTCTACAGCTTCAGAAGGGTCACAGAAGCAGTAGAGGTCTTCTTCTGTGAAGGAGAAGTTGTGGCATCACATTTCTATCATTTTTACTGTAGAGCTGGAAAGAGTCTTTTGGCCCAGCATGGCCCAAAAGGGATCTAATTTTTTCCAGCCCTCAAATGCTAACATTAGGTAGAGAGCAGATGAGCACTCCAGTCTCGATATTTCTCCCAGAAATGCTTGCTACAGCAGGTATAATGTATGAAAGAGAGAATGCAAGACACTGGACCAGCTCTCTATACCCAGAGGTTTTACCTCTGTCAGGGAACAGCCATATAACCAGAAATATATGATAAACCAAGAGTTCGGTTTCAATTCTGCTCCCTTTAGACCCTATTAATTCACCATCTCCATAGCTGTCCTGTGAAGCTTATTCCTTGCCTTTGCATTTGTCTAGCTTTAGAAGAGAAGGCAATGTAATTTTCATTGTTTCATTGAGGAGACTGATTGAAAGGCTCATACATTTGAGATGATGAAAAATATGCTGATGAAAGTGCTCCACATCAGAAAAAGCACATTTGTTGGAGCAGAGATGATTCTGACCAACATATTGATTTAAACTGAGAGGTTTCCTGGTCCCAGACCAAATCTCTGATAAGAATGAAGGAGAGGGAAGGAGGAAAAAAAGAGAGAGGGCTGTAAGTGTTACACGGCTCTAACAAGCTGCCTCCTAGGGGTATCACATTTTAAAGATCTGAGCCAAACCTGCCAGGGATCAAAGCTGGACCTGAGTTCCAGACTTTTTGGTAAAAGCCCATCTTGGTCTCAGCTACCCCACTGTAAGATACAAATTTTCTTGGTGTAAACAGGACCCTCCCACACTCCTGCAGGCATGCCAAAGGATGCTCTGATTTGGAACAAAAACATAACATAAATCTTCAGCTTGTTTGTACAAAACATAACTGGCTTTCAACCTGGCTTATCAAACTGGTCACTCACCAAGGGGCAGACTTTGAGTACTGTGTTCAGTTTTGGGCACCTCAATACAAAAAAGACATTGACATGTCCAGAAAAGGGCATGGTGATGGGTCTGGAGCACAAGTCTTGTGAGGAGCAGATGAGGGAGCTGGGATTGTTTAAACTAGAGAAAAGGAGGCTGAGGGGAGACCTTATCACTCTCTACAACTACCTGAAAGGAGGTTGTAACAAGGGGGGATCAGTCTCTTCTCCAAAGGAACAGATGATAGGACAAGAGGAAACAGCCTCAAGTTGCACCAGGAGAGGTTTAGACAGGATTTTAGGGAAAAAAATTACACTGAAAGGGTTATTAAGTATTGGAACAGCCTGCCCAGGGAAGTGGTGTAGTCACCACCCCAGAGGTATTATAAAAATGGGTAGACATAGCACTCAGAGATATAGTTTAGTGATGGTTTTTGTCAGTGTTAGGTTGATGGTTGAACTAGATAATCTGAGAGGACCCTTCCAACCTTGACAATTCTATGATTCTATCTGTATATCCTGATGTCCACAACCATTCTTTGATGGGCTTTGATGGGATTCTTTTTGCTTGCTTCATTTCCTCGCCTCAGCTTAATTTGAGATGCAATTAAATATAGGCTCCAGAAGCACTTGGCCAGTTTTGGAAATTGTACCTATTACTTTTTGTTAAACCTACTTGTTTTACTCTGAAAACACCGGCCTCCAGGGCTTGGAGAGGTGGAGGAGAGAGACTTACATGCTAATTACAAGAAATTAAATCCAGAACAAATATTGGCATTAATAGACTTAACATTAATGTAAAGTGTCTGCCAATGACAGCAGGATTTGCCAATTGCCTTTTATACTCTTCTTCATCCAGTATCACCATCCAAACTCTTTCCAATTCATGCATATTTTACTCATTTAGGTTTTTTCTCACATATCAATCTGCTTGTTTTCTCCATTTTTCTGTTCTTCTTTCATGTCATTAATCTAATCTAATCCCCTTCCAAGGTGACACTGCAAATAGAGCTCAAGAGCATTTACATCAGTGACTTCAAATCATCTTATGCAGCGATGCCTGCATTTAGGTGCTTTAGGATTCCCTTGGCTTCTTCCCTTCTCATTGCCATCAGTCCCACTAGCTGCCCTTTTCAGGGCCACTTTGGCATTAATGGCTACTGGGTTTTTAAAATCCATTGAGGACAGACAGCAGCTTGCAGAAGTCAACAGGAGCCTTTTGATATCTGGGATTTAGACGAGACGGCTAATCCCCTTTTTAGTCTATACCCTGCAGTCATCCCAGCCTGAATCCTGCTCAGGGCAAAACTCACCTGGGGAAATGAGAAATCATTACAGAAAGAGCCAGAACACAACAGAGAGCACAAAGTGATTACTGTTAAAATGTAATTCCTGAAGATAATTCTCTTCTGGCTGTTTCTGAGGGTTTTTCTTTTCATGCCTTTTTAACCTCCCATTCTGTTTTATGCCAGCTCAGCCATCCTCTTGCTGGCAGTGGGTTAATCCTTCTCATTCTCATGGCTCTGTCCCTCTCTATCTCATGGCTGATGACAACCTTGCCATCAACTGCGTCCTGGATGCTTTAAACAAAGGTTTCAGTTCCACTCCTTTTTGTTCCTAAAATACAATATGCATGTGACAAAAGTTGACTCAGAATGACATCGTTCACTCCAGCCTGTCCATCTCCTACATCCCACATCAACAGGACTGGCTGGTGTGGAAACAGTGAGTCAACAGCAGATATTAGCATTTGGTTACTTGGTAACTCTGATTCAATCAATACATGCTTCACATTTTAGATCCCAGTGGCAGGATGAACAGAACGAATTAGAAAACCTCAGGTGGAATAAACCTAATGGCTTATGGGACTTTTCCAAAATAAGAATGCATGTTGAATGACAAATAATCACTTGGCTGTAATCTCAGGAGTCTAATTATGAAATGGATGTGGAATCATTCTGTAATTATGTAGAAAGTTCATTTCAGCTGCCCAGAAATTCTCTCTGTGTGTACTATATATCATCACAAGTACTCTGTGGTTATTTGTAACATCTACTTGGAAAGACGCATGAATAAGAGAGGCAATTTTAAGAAATGGAGATGGATCCATGCCTTTTATAAGTCAATGGATTCATGCCAAGGATGAATTGAGACCAAGTTCCTCAACAGAGTTAAATCACTTCTAGCCAGTCCCAATAGAGCAGAAATCGCTCTCCCCTGCAGTGAGGATGTTCTAACCACAATGCAAAACCTTACTCCATGTTCTGCTCAGTGTTTATGTCTCTGCCTTAGAGCAGAACTCAGTTCAAAACCAGTACAAACCCTTGCACACTGTGGTGCCACAGGTCCAGGCAGATGGTCATCACTCAGAATTGCCTGTTATACCCACAAATAAAGCCAGGCCTCTGCCTTCAGAAATGAGTTCTGTTGTGATGGATCAGATGGCTGCATGTGATATTTCCATGCCTAATCTAAGTTTTGCAAAAGTAGCAACGCAAGGCTGCAGTTGCTGGATGAATAGCCCCAGGTCTGCCTGTCTACGTCCAAGGGGAACTTCTAGATCTGTGTGATCCTGAAAACCTCCAGGGTAGTAACATATAAAGGGTGAAGAGAAGACCTCACTAGGAGATTAGCCTTGTGGGTCCTTCATGGAGAACCATGGGGACCGTTGATGTTGTGCTTCATGCTGAACACACTGCCCTTCCTTTGGCGGGGGGAAATGCACCTGGGTATGCAGGTCGCAGGCGTCACAGGAATTAACAGATATGCAGAAAGGAAAACTGATTGCTTTCAGTGAAAACTGATTGCTAGCTGGCTGTGCACACCAAGTGTTATCAGACCACCTGACCATTCATTGCTCTGTCTCCATAATGCTTTGTTGTTGATCATTTTTTCCCCAACTCCACAAAACCGCCCCATTTTAGAGTGACCATCAGATCAGAGATTAACCGTGACCCTTCTGTTCGTGCAATACACATGGAAACGCACAGTCCAAAGGGCTGATTTTTATCTTAAGGTTGGGATTTATGCTGTGCTTTTGTCCCTAAAAGGTTTGAGGAGCAGAAACAGTGCCGTATGACACCTCATGGGTGTCCCGCACCTTCCAGCCGTAAATCTGTTTCTCCAGAGGCAGAAAAAGGAAGAAGGCACACAGCTAATTATGCTCTGTGGGCCAATTTGCCTTTGTATTTCCTGATGTATTCCCTGACTGGTGGAAAATCACTCTTGGCAAACACAAAACTTACCTTGCTGCCAAAAGGTGCATCTCTAAATTATTAATCAAGAGCACACAGAACCACGAAAGGTGGAATATTGAACAAAGGCTCAATTGACACTCTGGAAGTTGAAGAAGATATGGAAGACTCCCTTCTAATTTATTTATTCCTTTTCTGTTCTGTTATCCTGATATGCTGCTTCCAGTTACCAGTGCACCCCGCACTGTATGGTATTACGTGATTTTGTTTTCAGATTGTTGAAGATACAGTTACTTCATTATTAATATATATGCACTGTGCATATCCATGAATATTGAATATATACGTGTGTGTAAACCTGCTGGAAGTGTTCATAGTTAAGATAAACTAAGTCCATTATCGCAATGAGTGACTATTTCTATGACCCTATTTGTAATAAAGCCAGATTCAATGATATGAGAAAATTGCTAGGTTTCAAAATAATTGAGCAAGGCCAGACGAATCCCCACAAAGGCATCATTTACAAAGTACTTTGCTTGTCTAAAATATTTATTCCCGCAGAAGGAAATGGAAAAAGAGTTCATCTGGTTACACAGCTATCCTCTGAGCATAAAATTGTTTTATCATGTTATGTTTATTTCCTAGACATCTTCCATTGGGGTTTTGCGGGAAAATAGTGGATGTGCAGTTAGTTCCTTTGTGTGGACTGTTCATATTTATTCACTGGGAAGTCAATCATGTTTTGTTCAAGCTTGTTTTGTTTTTGTGCTGAGCAAACACTTAAGCAATGCTTTTCTTGTAAAAACTTATTTGCATATATAACAAGCACCATTCACAGTTGGCACCACACAGACAGTTGAGATGTCTTTGCTTTCCCTCCTATGTACCATGAGAAGTAGTGGGGTTCTTCCTGAAAATGCTGGCGTTGCTCGTAAAGACTGCAGTATATTGTTTGTGCTTAAGGACTCCATCAGTAGTTACAGATATTTTTACTTTGTCTTGTATTGAAAGCCTGGATAGATTTTTACTATTAAATGCTACCAGCGAAATGCTTCCAAGCAATCTACAGACAAAGAATTACTCCCAGTAATTATCCACTGAATAAATCTGAATAATGAATACGTTCACAAAAGTCACTATCTATTTGTGAACAATTAGCTGAAAGAAATAGAGGTGACACTCATCAGCTAAATAATTCATTTACGATTTCTTTGTCCAGCTTTGGTTCTGACATATGTTGCATGAAATGAGATCAAAGCTTAGATGAAAAATTACTTTAAAAAGGAGGGGGCAATGTTAAAGGAAATTTTTCCAGCTTCCAAAGCAGAAATTATCCCACTATTGTAACTATTATTTATTACTGGTGATTTCAGAGGCTAGTGAAGTTATTTTCCTTTTTCTTTCACTTCATGCATTAAACTGTGTTTTATTCCTAATGTGTATCCAATTTTAGGTTGTTAAACTGCAATCAAAAGCACTTAGGAGGAATGGATCTGTCCCTGTTATGGGATTTGAACTGACATCTTTATCCACTGGAACTTGAGTGCCCAGGTAACTACTAATTATTCAAGCATTTACTACCATTGCTATCAATATGATTAACACATTGTGGGATAAAAGTGAGACTGGCACTATGAAATGATCATTCCTAGCATTTGGACAGCAATCTTTCATGAAAACATTTATAAGCTGCCTAATTATTTTTCAATGACATGAACAGATAAATTGTTTACATTTAAGGTCAATCTCTAGAACTGTAAAGAAATGGTTTCTGGCATCGAAAATGATAAATGTTGTCTCCATATGTCCATTTCTTGAATACGACGAACCCCCTTGACTTTTCTGAGAGGATTTTTTTTAAGAAAATACCAAAAATTTGCTGATCATTTTTTAGAAAAAATGTAAGACCTTTCTTTCCATAAAACCAGCTTTAGTGAAAAAGACAGGAATAGGATTTTTAATTCAGGTCTAAAAGCTCACAAGCTCACTGCCGCTCTCTGCAGGAATAAGAGGTTGCACGAGACCTTCTTATGTGCCTTTCTGGATGACACCAGTAAAAATAAATGAGACAAGTCAAAGCTAGATGAAGACTAGAGTTTGACTTCCCTCTTCTCACCTCCATCAGTTTTGCTGGCCAAAGTAGACTGGTAAATTCTTTCTTATATTAATTAGTAGCAAGTGTACAACAATAAGAGGAAGGAGAAAGCAGAGGAGAAAGCAGGGACCATGGTTTGAAAGGCCTTGTCACCTTTCTGTCTAGGATCTACTACGAACAAAATTTTGAAGCATTACTTTTCCCCACCGAAAGTTCAGCTTAGATATCCCAAAATAACCGCTGTGAAACACTTGCAGGACACACCAGAGAGGGGATTTTGAGAGCGTTTCACAAGGCCTGCAGCTGTGAGCCGGTTGCAGCATGAGGAAAAGCCCTCCATCACCCCAATGCACAGGAAAGAGAAGGTAAGGCGACAATACATTCAGTGAAGAGCCCCAGGCCATCGAAATGTGTCCTTCTCCATGTTGCTACTGCTTTTACTGCTGGAAAGGGAAGGGTTTGAGGACAGCGGCCCTTATAAGCACAAGGGCAGTGAGGCTCAAAGGGGCCTGCAGGCCCCACATCAGCTGTGGATGCCTCCCCTTCTGTACTGGGCCAGTTTTCTCTGGGGGAAGATCCCGACCCTTTCTATGTACTCACTCACTCCCAAAATCCCTGAAAGAAAGATTAAACCAGTGAAGCCTGCAGAGCTGTTGTGCCCTCTGGTTCCCAGTGTCAATGTAAGCATCTTGCAGCCTTCACTCCACTGCTGGGTACGTGCAAAATGAGGGCCAGTTTGAGCCTGCCATTTTCCGCCTGGAAAATTACACACAACTAAGCACTTTGAACATGCCACAGCAAATAAATACCTCCAGGAAAAGAACGAAAAAAGGCTCAAGCTTGTGCTTGTAGAGACAGTAAACCGTCGTATTTCAGCAGTCATGGCAGGTATTTCTGACTGGAAATTGTATATTTGATGATGAACAGCCTTCAGCATTTGACAAGGGGCTGTTAAAGCCTCTTGAACAGTAAATCACCTCTCTTCCTATCAATAATCTTATTATAATATCTGTAGAAATGTCTAATGTTAAAAACCCACTTTATTACTATAATAATGGATCTAATTTGTAAAACATATAAAGTGAGGCCATAACTGTACTGGAGGGAGATATACGTGATCCCACTATATCTATATCATTTTCTGATGGCCTTACCCACATGTGTTTAACGGGAAATGGTTTAAAATCAATCCAACTTGCAAAACTTTTGAGATTGGGAATAGTTTCTGGAAAGGATATTAACATGATCATGGAAATGAATCAATCATGATAAAAAGAACAGCCTCAACTTCATGTTTATGCATATAAATATGTAGGTGTTTATCTGTGATTTGCTCTATTCAGCCCCTTCCCAGTTGCCAGGAAAGCCATGCTTTCCAGCTGCACAATCACTATTATCACTCTGTGTTATTTTTGGCTACCGAGTATATTTCAAGTAACGTCATCCTTCCCAAGCCAACGCTGGTATGAAGGGCGGAAACTCTTCTTTCCACTCCTCTGTCATTTGCGGCTGTTCCCATCTGCTCAGGGGCACTGCCTGCTCAGTCCTCGCTGCAGAGGGATCTCCAGACACTCTGCCCTGGTCCTTCCCATTTTCTTGAGCAAGTGGCTTTCCAACCGAAGCTTCATGTGGGAGGCTTCATGTTGGCATCCAGGGTACATGTCCCAAATATGTCCAGCCCCACCTTCTGATCCTAGTGCAGAGGAGCTGCGGGTAAGTAATCTCTTGACGAGTGATAGAGTCCTTGTGTCCAAAGCCCAGAGCTTTTCACAAATGGGTTGTTTTTAAGGGCATTTAATTTCCTGACTAGCACTTTGGTAGGTTTCCAGCTCTTGTCACAGTATGTTAACACCGGGTCTCTGTCTGTGGGAAAAGCATGTCATTTTTTTCCTGACACTGCGTAGCTTTGATTTCCACAGGTTGTTAAAGCCTAGTAAATATTGTAGATGTCACTTCCTTTTTAAGGCCGTCTTTGTCTAGGTGCTACCCAACAAGCCAGTTGCTTAATATTTTTCTCTTCTGATGTGATATAACCTTTAGGGGTTTGGAATAGCTTGTATGAACAAGAACTGCACATGGAGTTAAAAATCTCTTCAAAAATAAGGTTCAGTTTCCTTGGCTGTGCCATGGGAGGAGCCCTCCCAGCTAAAACTATAACCACTGTTAGTGTGAGCTGGGTATCTTCTGCTGTGTCTCCCTAAACCTGTTTCATTTTACACAGAGTAATTAAATATTCATCGTGCCAGAAAGTGTGTGTATGTGTGTGTGTGGCTATAGCAGAGTGATTAGGGTACTCACCTGGTAGATGAGAGACCCTGTTCCCAGTGACTGCTCCAATGAATATTTAAGTATTTCATATTAAGTATTCATTGGAGCAAGGAGAGGAGCAGATTTCTCCCACCCCCAAGGGAGCACCAAAACACCAGGCTGTAAAGTCATTCTTTCGTTCGTTCTTTCTTTAGCTCAATGAATATTTAATTATTCGAGGCCAAACAAGACAGCTTCAGTGGCAGAGTCTGAGATTCCCTGTTCCCACGTGTGCACCACAGCATCTGATGATGAGGGTGTGTGTGTAAGAGATGTGGGTTTATATTCCCTTGGACTTAGAAAGAAATTGAATCCAGGTTTCCCATACCCTGGATGGGTCTTCCATCTTCTGAGCTGCTGAATGAAAAACACAGAGCTCCAACACACACTGTCCCTGGTCATGAGACAGAGGTAGAATGGATGCTTGTATGACTCCAAGCTCAGAGAAATTGTCTTTATCAGTGACAAATTAAGCTGAGATCTGGTTTATAAATCCCTCAGGAGAAGGTATCAAAGCTGAAGGTGTTCCTCACTCCTGCTGGCAATGTCATATGCCTTTCTGAGATTATCCAGAGTGTGATGTGTAGAGAAACTTACTTATCCTCTCTACTCTGGGGTCTGACACCCCCAGACTGCAGGTTACAGGACTTAATCCTGCTTCTGCAGACCAAAAAACAGGTGTGTGAAATGGGGAGTGTGGGGAAAGCACCCAAAGAAAAAAGGTGTAGGGTAAGGGTATTTGAGCCTAAAAATGGGCAAAAGTAGTGAGCATTGAGGAACAGAGAGATTAAAGCAGGCAGAAAAACATGGAAAAAGAAGTGGGCAATCACCAAGTGACATACAAGGGGAAATGACACACAAGGGGAAAAAAAGGAGCAGGGACAGTGACTAGAAGGACCAAGCAAACCTTCTAAGAAATAATACCCTTTACCTAGCAGAGGAAGCGAAGGAAGTAGAGGAAAGAAGTAAAGAAGGTGACTTTGATCTTAAAGTATAAAAAAAAATGTGAAGAATCTCTGCCACCCACTTAGGTCTTTGAAAAGTTGAAAATTTGCTATCTGCTCTCCACTTTCAGAGGACAGTGGGTGTCTCTGAACCAAAATGCTTTGGATTCATTTTGGGGAGTGTTCCTACACAGAGAAGTGATTTATTTTTATTGTTGCAGCTCTGTTTCTTGTCATTTGGCAGAATCCACAGCAATCTGATTCTGTTATCAAAGACTGAATGTGGCTTCCAAGCGAAAAAGAGAGCAACAACATAAGAGTAATATTTAAGGGGAAATAAATTACCTTCTCATACCCATCAGGATAGTGTCCAAACCCAAGACTGCTGCACAGTCTCAGTTGTTGAAATAGCAACACTGCGTTCAGAACAGAGCTGCTTAGCTCAGAACATTTCAAAGGTGCTCCCAATGATATGGTTCATATATTTCATATCGCGTTTATGTTCGTCTACCCCAGGGCTGTTGAGCAGCCACCTTCAATAACTGTTCACTCCAATTTAGAGAAATCCTTTCTGAACACTTTGCTGTCCGTTGCTTTAACCAGCCTTTTCCCTCAGAAGACAGCTTTAGAGTACTGAAGATCTATGACAATGAAGGAATATCCATATTGTCTTGCTATAAATATTACAGTGGTCTGACTATAAATGTCAAAACAGATGTGTTTCATATCATGCCCTTCAGGGGACATGGTAACATAGCCACGAAAGCTCAAAGTTTCCCCTAGATGTATTACTCCAGTTTGAATGGCCATGTGTTTTGTGTTTTGATCAACTCTTTAGACAGATGACAGTAGCTATCCTCCTTCAATACTGAGGAAAAGGCCACCTGTGGACCAAGCTGTGGGGGAAAAGAGGAAAGCAGAGAGAAGGGTTCGATTTCGTGAGCCAGAAGAAGTCATTGAACATGGTACGCTCAAGCTACTAAGCCTTTGGCATGACCTTTCCAGCCTTTGACATTCACCCTGTCTGTCTACATTAACTTCCCCCTGTCATAACGTTATGTGTGATTTGGAGCTCAGCACGGAGCAGAGGACAGACAATTTTTGCTCTGTGCTCTGCAGAATTGTATCTGGTCCATTTGCCTGCCTGACCCGGGAGGCAACAAGCTTCTCCATCCCATTAGAGCAGCCTCAGGGCTGTTCTCGTGGTGACCTCCTGAGTCAGCCCCCGCAGGGATCGTTGTAGAGCATGGGTTTGGCTGAGCCCAGAACAGTGCTTCCACTGGTAGAAAAGGATCTCAAACTACATTTGAACACAAATTTAAGACCAAATTTGTCCTCTGGATAACCAGGATGTAATGGCAAGGAGGGAAGCAGCCCCTTCAAGTTTCTGAGTAACATGCGTGCCATCAGATACAATAGTAAAGGTCTGAGCCTGGCTGGCCAACTGGGGCTAAAAGCTGCCAGGATGTAACCCTTTCTGCCAAGGAGGGTACCCAAGGAATGATAGAGCTAACATAACCTCTGGGCTTTCACTCATGAGCCAAAAAAAACGGTTTGCAGGTCAACTGGGAGTGCCCTGAAGCAGAGGTCTGGCAAAAGGATCCAGTCTGCACTTCTGCACGCGCTATATACAATTCATAAACAAATAAGAACTGTTGCTTCATTCCCACCTTTACAAACTGACCCAACTAAGAAAAATTGCATTTATTGATATGGAACTAAAACTGTATGGTTTTGTTACATCAGTCAGTAAAAACACAGGTGACAGAATGGTGACATTTCTATGTCACCCGCCTGTTTGGCCGGCTACTCAGCTTCTAAAATCAAAGCTTGGCAGCTACTACTGTGTTTGTACACAGACCTTGCACTGGTTTTGCAACACGTTGTTTCTGTTGCCTCCTAATGCAGGAGTGAAAAGCTGTTTCTTGACAAGGCTGTTGACACAGCCTGGGCTTTCCCATCAAAACTGGACTCCTGGGAACACTCGCTGAGTCGGCCCTAAAATCTCTAAAGGTCATGGGACTGCTCAAGAATAGGATTTTGATAAGATGTAATACCTCCTTCAGCTCCCTGCCAGGGTCCATGCCCCTCTATCAGCACTGGTAGTCCTGCAGCCCAGTCCAGCTCAGGAGACCTGGTTCATCTCTCAGCTTCTCTGAATTCAGCACAGCCACAACTGAGCTTCAGGGAGCTGCAAGGACATAGAAGACTTGGAGTCTTTTCCATGAAGACATGAGAAATGTCCTAACCCATAATTAGCATTCTGTGTTGCAAACAGCCCGTGATTTAGACAATTTGTTGTTTGCCCATGCAATATTATTAATGTAGAGGCTGGTAAGACAAAGGTTGCTGGCACCACTGAATTTTTCCATTTTGTGGATTTTTCATCCTGGATTGTATCTGGGTCCTGGTTGCCAAGCGGAGGCAGTTCCAGGATAGTGTTGGATGAAAATTGCATCTGCCAGTGGGCTTTGCTTTCTTCACTTTCATTCTTCTCTCAATCTGATGGTCTGTCTCCTTTCCCTTCCAGAAATTTTGTGGAAGAGGGAGGTCTTTTTTGCTAGAGCTAGCTCCTGACCTCCTTGCAACACCAGCAATCTCTTCCTCTGAAATCCCCCAAACAATCATTTTTTTCTCACTTTTCTGAAATAAACCTACATCTGCATGTTTGCATGGAGTGGGCAGATCCTCATCTGGCATAAATCTGTACAGACAAAAGTGCTGTAAGAGGTAGCCTGGCCTCTATAAGGCAACAGGCAATTTCAGAGACACTGCTTGGTGCTTGCTTTCTTATTTATCTGCTGCAAGGAGGCCTTTACAGGCATGTAAGAACATTTTCATTCTGTTTTCTAGCCATTTCCTGCTGTGACTACATGGTGGGTAAGTCAAAGTTTCACATTATAACTGTGAGCCATCCGTGGCACTAACCCGAGTTTGCTTTGTGGCTGCTGGGATGCACTGTGCAAATATATCCTCCCTATTCAAAGCATTTCATGCTGTCAGTGGTTGTTGCTTTTTCTTCTCAGCATATAAAGTACAAGGTGTTGATGAGGTCTGGTGCAGTATTTTAAACAAGACATCTAGTCAGACAAATAGTGGAAACAAAAACGAAATCCCTGAAGCTATTTTTAATTTAAATATAATTAATATATTTTATGGCAATAGAATAGGTACAGGTTTTTCACTAAGATATGCAGGGAAAGCACCCCAAGCAAAACAATAGTTCTCCCTGCTGACTTTCATATGTGGGGAAGAGACAATTCATTTATATGCTGGCAGCAGGGTAGAAATAATAAAAATAATCTGGTATTCCTTTTTTGTTTGCAAGGATGTTTGAGGCCAGCCAGCCTCACAGACCCTGAAGCAAATGTGTGTACCTGGATGTTCTTATGATGGTGATCATTTCTAGAGGCCCTGGCCAGCATCCAGCCCCTGCTGTGTGCCATGCAGTAAGGGGAAAGGGGTACATATATTCCTGTATGTATATACACACACAGACAGAGCCATAGTGTTTGGAGGCCAAAAGGAAGCAAATGTCCCCACACCCCCAGCTGTTAGTATGGCCCAGGAAGAGGGGTTGCACGCTCATGCCAATGGCAATATCAGCTAAGGTGGTTATTGGGCTAGGAGCAAGGTATCATAGGCTGGAAAGAGCCAGGTGGAAAAGGAAAGACCAAATATTCACCAGGTGACAGTGGAAATGTGTGTCCAAGGCAGGAACTAGCACAAAATCTCCTGTATCCCAGTCAAGTGTTTTTCTCAGATGAGCTGCCTTTTTCTTAGACTGGGCATGTGGTTACGGCTGAATGTGCTGTTCCAACAAACAATTCGACTAGCAAATTTAAGCGTTAATTTTCCATTTGTAATCCAGAATAGAACAAACTTACATTTAAGCACATAATTGCAGTGATGTGCAGAAACTGGTGCGATCATAACTCATTGCTGTTTTGTGGGTGGGATTATTCTTCCACGTTATTATTTTCCTGTTCCTGGACTGAACATTCTCCTTAATTGAGAGGATATAAGAAAAAAGAAAGTTTGCTTTTGAGACCAACCAGAAATTTCACATGGAAAGTAACTTCTGCAAGATCACAAAAGGCTATAAGCACTTCATAGAAAAGGGCTGATGTGAAAAGCTGTTTAGCTTTCACAGAAAACTTTCACCATCACCAGGTATGCTCGTCAGCCAGGCTCCATGCTTTGAAAATCATATAAACCATTCACAGAATAATGCCAAATAAACAAATTTATAAAAGTTGAAGTCTGGTCATGGGTAATTTGCAAACAGAAAGAGGGGCTAAATTCAAATGAGTAAATTATTTGCTGCAAATAATTCACTCAGATCTATTATGGGACATTGATTTGGTTTCTGGTTAGCTATAAAGTAACTGCCTATTAACATTTTACCTTTTCCCCATACACTTTTTGATCCATTATTATGTGTTTCTTGCTTGGTTTTATGACTTTTACCTTCCTCTCTGTACGTTTGTATGACAGTTTAATTGACTGCTGTGTATTCCAGGGCTCATAGTAGAAGCTAATTTAAATATGTTACAGATAATATTGGTCCTTTACCCATTATAATACACACCACATTTTTATCTCCTTATTGATTACGTGCATATGGGAGGAAAATAGCTGCACACTACAGGTTTTTATTCAGGCATGAATTTGGCTTTATACTGCATGTTTAATACTCAAAGTGCTTTATAAAATAATAGCGTTGACTGTGCAATGACTGTGCTGTCAAACAGAGCAGCCAGATCTGAACCAAACTGGATCCCCAAATCCTATGGGGCCAACGACTTATATGTAGCCCATTGATTTCCACATGTCAACTGTGCCTGACCTATGGCACTTTAAACATCCTTGAACTATATCTCAAAAGCAAGAAAAAAGTTTACAGTGTCCTCCTGCTTAAGAGCAAGTGTTGAGTATGTTCCAGTGCAATTAATCTCAGTTCTTACTGGAATTAGCAAGAAGCCCAAACAAGCTGAGTTTCCAGTGAAAAGGACAGAAATCTAGATCTTCTCTCTTTAAGGAACATTTTGTGAGCATTAAATAATTAGATGAGGTAGCTTAATATTGTCCTAGTATTTAACCTAACACCTAACTTAAAGGTATAAAAAAAATAATTGCTGGAGGGAAATTTGAGATCATGCATTAGCTATGGTAATCCTGTTCTTATTGTATATAATTAAACTCTTTAAATGCTCCATTAGATGAGATCTTTTATACTCACCACCCTCCACCGGGAGGTGTGACTCACTGTCATTTAACTGATGCCTGTGGAAGTACTCACAACCAGAGCCCCATGTACCCTGCTGTTCCCAGAAAACTGGGACAAAGGCATCAGCAGGGGGTCAAATTTGGGAAGTGTTTAAGATGACACTAAAATAATGCTGCTTTTTTTTTTTTTTTCTCCTCATCACCATTCAGTAGATGACAGGTCATCATCTGGATTGCCCGTGCTCTTATGGCTCTCATTTTGTGCAGTGCTGGTCCTTGCTGTGAGTCTCTACTACACCAGCATGAAGCAAGATGTCAAAGTCCTGGAGGAATTTCAATCTCGACTTGTTATCTTCTTTCTTCAGATAAGGCACGTTGCTCAGAAATGCTGGACTTGGTTTATGAGGCAGTAGCAATGTCCTCTGGCCTGACAGATATCTCAGAGCACTGCTAACCACCATGTGGCAGTGCAAACCTCCCCGTCTCTTCCAGCCACATGCGGGGAACACATGAGCATCCACCTTGAAGAGCAAGAAAACCACCCCTGTTGTGCACTGTCCGGCAGCTACTTGTTTCCCTTGGTTTTTTCTTTTTTTTTTTTTTTTTTTTTTTTTCCCCACATTATCAAACCATGTTTCTCCTCAAGCCTCCTAAGAGCTATTCTGCAAAAGTTAAAATAAAGCTGAGCTATTGCACAAACACTGCTCTGGTGGCCAAAGGCTTGGCAAGCTGCTATATTTATACACCTGAAATGATTATTAGTAAAATCTTGGCAAATGGCTTTCTTGTTTCCCTTCATCCATTTCTTTTTCCCTCCATGGACAAAAGCTGTTTCTTAATGTTTCAATTGACTCCCAGGTGTGAAAAAGCCCATGAAAACTCATTTAAGCAGTAAATAGTTTATTTGCCTAACATAATAAATAGTGGCATTGAATCCCAGGTTAATTATCAAATCAGTAGTTTAATCCTCTGGGTTTGATTCAGTCCATAAACTGCACGAGCTGAGCTTACAGGATTTATGGTAGTGCTTGCATTCAGCCAGAGGTTATGCATTTATGCCTGGGTGTTCAAGGCCTGGTATAATGGCAATATGACCTGTTTATGAAGGTGTGGGAGGCAAAGCCCCTTTACCCTTCCATTGTCCCACCACAGCATGCATCTCTCTGAAGGGAATCCTTTTAATGGAGATCATGCAACAAACATGGAATGGTGCTCTGGATGTCTGAGAGGAGAACAAATGAGTGCAAGCTTAGGAACTTCAGCTGTTTTCTTCCTAAACAATGTTTTCTTCTGCTCAATCAGCTTTTTAGACCTTAGATTCTTCTCAAGTAGCGCCTGATGTGTGCTCAGGTTTATCTGGTGTGATAAGATTGACACTACAACCTGTAAGAGCCGAAGAAAAGGAAAAAGGAAAAAGTAAAAGATAACACTGCAGAGAAGATGGAAGAGATGGAAGTGATTTCAGTGGCTGTTCTGCTCCTCCTTAGCTGCCAAAGGCCACAGCAACTGGAGGCAGAGGGGTGGCTGTTCTCCTGCTCCTCCTAAGATGCCAAAGGCCACAGCAACTGGAGGCAGAGGATGCTGCAGGAGGAACATTTAGCTCAGGGGGCTCTTTGTGCAAATCACTCGTGCACCCCAGCTGGGAGGGCAAGTTTCACCGCTGCTTCCCTTCCCTCTCCCCTCTCTCAGCCCTGACGCTTAGGTAATAAATAGGGGTTTTAAACTTGTGAGCCAGTGACTGTCTGACGAAAAGGTTTGGATTGGTAGATGCAAGGGGCAAGGGGGTCATTACAACTTCTGTTTTCATTTTTTCATGTTTATGATCTTTGCAGTGTTTACATTGAAACTCTTTGGCAGATCAGTGGCATTCTTCTTCTGGCTGTGGGTTGAGACATCCTCCCAGCACGTAGCAAATAACCACTTCAAGATGGGAGCCTTTTTCTGAAAGGATGGCTCCCTCACTGTTAGTCATGACACGTTGCATCAAGAAAGTGTAGCCTGAGCTGACAAGAACAGAGCAATCTCAGGAGCAAGAGCAATAGAGTGAACCCTTCCAGTAGGTTAGCAACCTGGTTTCAGTAACTTTAACACAAGTCAAAGGGTTAAGGTAAAACAGGACCTCCTCTTAGGACTGTGAGGGAAGATGCAGAGCCAGCATGAAGCCCATATGTGTGCTCATCTCCAGGAGATGGGCCTGGAACCATCTTTCCTTGGGTCTGCTGTAAAAGGAGAATGGCCATGTTCTCCCAGTTGGAGGCCCAGCCTTATGGCTGTGAGCAAGAATGGCTATCACATCTGGGCTGTCAGGGAAATTAAGCAGAGGAACAGCTATTCTTGGCTTCTGCCCAGGCTCTGGTTGGGACAGTTTTGGACATGGACAAAGGCAGCACTTGAGTTGCCTGTTGAGATCTCGCCGTGGCCGTGCCAAGGCCTCCCGGGTCAGGATTGTTTACTGCAGTCACTCAGAAAGGTGGCAGGCTGCAGAAAGCCCAAACACATTTGCTGCAAAGCCAGAATATTTGAAATAAATAAAAGCTAGACCCCATCCCTGGGAGAGAGGTAGCATTTTGCAGGTGAAGAAACTTGGGCTGAGAAAGCCAATGAAGCAGATCAATAGCAAGGCTGGGAAGAGGAGCAAAAATCCCAATCCTGGGCCTGCATTTAATTACTGCTGCACAGCTTCACTGTGGACTCACCTGTTTTATTTCCTTCTCAGAATGAAGCTTTTTTCCCAGCCAGGCGTCCTGCTTACACAGACACACACACAAACCCCTTTTTCCCACTATGCCCCTTCTTCCTGTTCTTTATCCAGCACAGATCTATCCTCAATGCTGTCAGCTGGATGGGATTTCTCCTTTTCAATTCTGGTTTTCTAGGTGTGACGTCTTTGTGAATCCATGAGTTTGGAAAAGCTGGTAGGAGCTCTAAAATTACCCAAAATCAGCTATTTATGGTAATATTTCCCTTGCTGGCCACGCTGGGTAGTATTTCCCTTTAGTACAACTCCAGAGAACTGCTCATAAAGAGGTAAAAAGGGAGAAGGAGTATGTAATTTATTACAAACAGTTGAGATGTTCACCTGAATTCACACTGGTGACAGTGTGGTGAATTGCTTTAGGAGTCAAGAGTCTTGCAGCCAACCACCTCTGAAAAAATATTTGATCCAGCTTGGAAAGGATCATGTTTTAGCTTTAAAGGGCTGAAAGAGGCAGTGATGGAGGACAGGACTCCTGCAGGAATTTTTGAAGCAGCCCGGCGAGTAGGCGGGCTTCCCAGGAGCCTGGGGTGGCAGGAGTCAAGGGGCCAGAAGAGAGTAGAAGGAGGTCTGAAAATGGGCTACTGACAGGGCCTAAGGGTGGAAATGCTGCCTAATATCCCTTATGCAATGAGTATGAAATAAATGCAGGACAGCAATCAGCAGACCACAACAGGATGGGGTACGTGTTGTTTTGAGAGTGTTCAGGACATTCTTGGGGCAGGAATGGAGGGTGGCTGCCAACAACCTCTTCAGCCAGGCTCACCTCGTCAACGGCACCTGATTGTACGAGCAGGGATAGCCGTACCCATATGATTAGAGGAGATAGAGAAGGGGAGCAGTACCCATATGATTAGAGGAGATAGAGAAGGACACAGTGAGATGACACTCGATTTCTTTTGCATTAACCTTTTGATGCACTCAGCATTAGCGCTGGTAAAAGGCAGCCCCAAAGTCTGCTTCTAGTCCCACTCCCTCCCTCCATCTCTCCAACCCTGTGAGACTGAAGACAAGTTAATGGAGAAGGAGAAGCCCACAGCAGCAATTTTAATTGTCATTTCTGCCTTTTGCCACTTCAGAAACAAACAGAAGGGCTGGCAGCATGTGACTGGAAAAGGATATTACCAGCTGTCCTCAAGGAATTACTCAGGAACATCTAAGATAATAGTGTGGACTTGTTTCTTATTAATTCCTTGCTCCGAGATAACTGCTGGGAACCTTTAGGCCCACATCTTACAAGAAAGGATGATGAAGAAAATTAACCAGTTGGCATTTAGAAAATGAACCTGCCCATGCAGACTGTGGTCCTTCTTTATATGTGGTAACAAGCTGCTTTTCAGTTGCATCTGACATGGGAGCATCTTCTCCCTGCCTCCAATGGCATTAGGGTTCACTGCTGGAAGATGGTACCAAAAGGGCTCAGGCAGCTTAGGATGGTCGCCCATATCCACGAGTATACAAGATGTGGCATGGAGATGTTGGGGAATGAGTACACGAACTAGGACGCTACCACTGATCTTGAGAACAATCTTTCATCTTACACTGTAACAATTTAAATTCACCTTCAAAAAACAGGCACAGAAATACTGACTTTTCAAATAATTTATTTGTATATATCACCAAATCATAAAAAGCCAATGCACTGTCCAGCAAAAAGCGTCAATATATAAAACACATTAACTCCTTTTCAGGAACACTAGAGTGTATCACTTATACTGAACCCAGTCCAACTCCTAATAAAGCCAAAGAAAACTTTGCTGGTGACTCCATTAGCAGAAGGATCAGACTCCACATTTTTATTTGCTAGGTGTTTACAAAGGGCTATATTAAAATGCTAGTAAAAAGCTTCCTTTCTGAGACTGTATCAAAACAATAATAAACCTCACTCTGATTCTGTTTCTGTCAAATGCATGCAATTAAAGCTCCAAATCAGCAGTCATTACGCTGCAAAAGACCATACAAACCAAAAGAGATAGTATTCAAAACGGACCAGGCTCTACCCTCAGCTTGTGTGGACTGGCGTGGCTCCAGCGTGGCTCACAAAGCTAAGCTATATACACCAGTGAAGGATCTGCCCCTCTACTGCTTTCAGTGGTTAAACAAATTATGAAAAAGGGTTCAGTTTTGTCCCCAAATGCCCATGATGCAGGGACTTCTTTAGCAGTATAACCCGATGGTTAGACTCATATAAAGCTTTTCCCACGTGGCCATAAGTAGAGACAGTAGCTCACGAATACATAAGTCACAGGACATACACTTAAGAGAGGCTGAAATGTTTTCAGGCTCTGTGCTTGGCTTAGAAGCAAGAAAGATCAGCTTCAGCTCTTTGCAGGTGGTACCACACAAAAATGCAAACCTTTTAAAACTATGAGTGTTCATGAGCTCCTTTCAAAAATACAAGTCTACAGAGATTTGGGAACGGTCTTTTCTTCCCCACACATGCCACAGGGTGAAGGGCCAGCTGTAGAGTATCTGGATCTGCCAACATGGAAAAAAAAAGAGGTTTTCCAAGCAGCCCCTCCATCCCTGGTGGCAATGCTAGTACCTTTACACTAGGTGTCCACACAACTGACACAGGAAGCTCACTCCAGAAGCTGAGTTGAGGCAAACACAGCCTTCAAGGAGATGCTCTGCAGTTTGAGAAGCCACATAAGCAGGTTGGGGGTGAAACTGGTGTCAGTGTTGTCAGTGCAGGTGCTGCCACACCAGGAGCCTCCCTCACAGCACGTGCACTAACAGTTCTCCTCACTACCTATTTCTATACTGATTTATGGCACTCTCCTGTCCCCCTCAGCAGGTCTTGTCCCCAGTAGGAAGAGATGTGAGAAATAATGCCTCATAAGCTTGATGGCAATAAAACCCTTTGTGAAGTTTGCAGGAATGTTTTTGGAGATGAAATGATCCAGGGGAAGGAGATGTCAGTGGAACTGTTGGTTTTTTTATTGTTGTTTTGTTTTGTTTATAAACCTTCAAAAATCTCTTGGGGGTGCACTTCAGATTACAATATGTTGATTTCTCAGTTGTGTAGCTTGGGCTGAAAAATAGTGATAGCTTTATTCAGAGAGTGTTTGACCAGAATTGCTCTGGTGTCATCAGTCTGCACTGTCTGGGGACCCCAATGCAGTGATCCTTCCCCTGCAAGGATGCTGTTCAGCACAGAGCTTCCAGACATCATTTAGCAAAAGGACTGCTTGCAATTCCAGAAGACTGCAGCTTAATAAGGAGACTGTTGGCACCTTTTGATATAAAATGTTGAACACTGTTTTAACAATGATGGTTAAAACAGTTGCAACAGCCCAGAAAGTGAAAAGGGTTAACTGGTGAAACTGAGATCCAGCTGCTGCAGGAAGATGTGCCGTATTTCAGATGAAAACTCTTGGACTTCACAGTGTTATTGGGGAAAAATAATTCCCTCTGCTACACAAGTGAGTGGGGGAAGAGATCTGGACTGTGTTATGTGGAATACACAGTTCCCTGCCTTAAAATCTGTGGTTTAACATAGCACTCATCTAATTCCGCCAGGTTCCCTGAGGGACTGCTGGCACCCACCTTGGGAACCTCCTAGAGTAACGTGTCGCTGAAATCAGGCCTGGCTTGTGGAAAGGGAAGGGTTTGATGTCATACCATAAAGAGCCCAAGTGAGAACAGGGAAATTCTGCCACACTTATTGTTTGACAAAAGGCAAAGTTCACCATAAGAACTGCAGTTTTTCTCACATTCACAACTACTCTTCAGTACCTGTATACAAACTGGAGTCAAATTTCCAAAATCTGGGGGGAAATGAGAGGCAAATAAAGTAGGTAAAGAGTAGTTTTGTCACACAACTATTTACTCACTTGTGTGAGAAATCACCCAGGCGGTCAACAGCAACAGTGACTCTTCATTCCCACCTCTGGCAGGTCATCTCAGCCCTCACTTTACAACACAGTCAAGTGGAAAGGGGGAATAGAAACTTCTCAAGTTGGATTTCCACCATATATAAATAATTCAAGCTATTTCAGTGAGCAGAGCTTCCTGCCAAGTACTTTGTCTCCTTGATAGACACCAGAACCACCAGCTAAAACATTGTTACTTAGGAATTTCAAGCCATGTAGGAAAGCTCCAGCAGGAGGATTTGAGGGGGATCCAGGATAAAGCATGGAAGGTGGAAGCATTTGCCATGGAGATGGAGGCTTGTGTCTCCCAAAGCAGAGGGGAGGAGTAAACCTGTACCTTGTGGTTACCTACCAGCAGGAAGGGATGGGGAAGGACCATAACAAGCTTTTTAACAAATTGCTCATTGCTTTCTGCCACCCTTATGAAAGGTAAAGTATAACTTTCATGTAACATATAACCTTCCATGTCTAACAAATCACAGTTGCTGGCTTTTTGTTTTGGTGAGGAAAAAAAAAAAAAAAAACTTTGGAAAAAAACCTCCAACCCAAACCAAAACAAAGTAAAATTATTATTTGACTAATCAAAAGCCCTTCTTGGGTCCCTATGCCCATTTTTAAGGAACAAGAACCCAACAGGAAGCTAATAAGAGTTAAATCCTAAATATTTTAGAAATCTATGAAGATAGGATTTAGACTCTCACATGGATTCAGTTCTTTTGACTATTGTGTGCAATAACAGTTCAAGCAGTTACAGTAGCTATGAGAGGTAGAAAAGTTTAAGCACTCGGGTGAATACATTCACATTAATCTATGTTTGCAATAGCAGTTCAACTACACTCTTTGGCATGGACAACAGAGACTAAAGAGAAAGCCTTTCTATGTAAATACTCTTCCCAACAACAATGGAAAGATGCCATCAAGTACATGCCTGCATTGAAACAAGCAGTATTTGCTATATATTAAGTAAATTGCTGTGTAACCTCTCAGAAACAAATGTTAGGTTTTCTGAGAGAGTGCAGAGGTTTTTTCCCTTCTACATCAGCAGTACACCAAAGTGTTGCCTTCTATGCAGTTCTGAGCTTTATAAACTACTGAGCAGAATTTTGTCATTTCAAAAAAAATTAAAAAACTTTTAGGTCTGTATATGTGAATATTAAAATACAGATCAGGTTAGTTTTCCTTTTTCTTATGGAGGACAAAAATAGAAGCATTCACTACTTCGAGGCATTAGGACGATGAACAGAAACAATTCTAAAACAATTTCAATGCTCATGATGCTACACGTGTATTTTCTCACTGCATACAGGTGTGGAAACAAGCCAGGTAATACCTGCCTCTCTTCTCAGATTGCCTAAGCATAAGGAAATGACATTCGTGGTCTCCAAAGCAAACATTCCAATGAGATAAAAATGGGCTGTTTCCATCAGCAAAGGAAATGGTCTGAGGCACAAATTTAGGCTCTGGATAAGGACAGGATTCCCATTAACTCAAGGATGTTCACACCCAGGCCATTGACTTAGAAGAAAAGACATTTTGTCAAAATCCACATTGGCTTGTCACAAAATACTCTAAGTCCTGTCAGTATGAATGAGTGTCATGAGTTGTGTTAAATTTATCATGTAAATAGTGAAAGTGATTTTACATGCAATGTGTTTGAGGTGGGAGGCTTTGGAGAAGGGAGATGATAAAACAGCCTAGGGCTTTCTAACCCACTATTTGCGTTGGGGATTTAGTAGAAAATACAGGACAAGTGCATGTTTTATTAAGGTGAGTTTGGAAAGGGATGACTAAATGCTGAAGTCAGAAGTGTACAAAAGAGGTATGTGTGTATAAATAATACTGCTATTGTAACACATTTTCAGTCTGGCATCACCAGGTTTGCCTGATGCCACAGTTAATGGGTCAGTCTTTACATGTACTTCTGCTGGGCTGGACTTTCCAAAGGCTGAAGTATTTCATTCCTATTGGCTTTTAGTTGGAGGTGGGATCCTGGCTGCCCCAGGTGTTTTAAAGATCCCACTTTTTGTCTATTGAGCTGCAGAACAATGAAGATAAGAATCAGGGAGATGGTTGGGGTGACAAATGCTAGTGAAAATAATAACCACAAAAGTCAACAAGTGTAGAAAGCCCGGGACTAGTGTTTGCTGCTTCTTGTGGAAGTGAAAAGGAGGAAAAGACCCCGAGACAGGACAAAAGGTAGGACAGAGGTAGAAGAAAGTATCGGCTCCAGACAACCTCACCAATGAGCAGCATCTTCTTCCTCCTCAGAACCAGAGACAAAGTTTGAGCCCTGGTATCTCAGAGCAAGATTGAGGAGGAGACACTTGGTGTCTTGCAGTCTTCAGCCTCCTGGTTCTTCAAAGCCCCAGGCAAGACCAGGAACGGTGGTCCCAACCCATATATTACTTCAGCCCAAGCCTGATTTGGCATATACATTAAATAAATTATACAAAGCAGCAGCAGCATGGTTCCACGTGAGGAGTAAGGCATGCACTGAAGTAATCTGTGGGAGGAGATGTCACTGCTGAATCTTAAATTCAAAATGAGATTGGAAGGAGAAGTAGTGTATTTTACAGTTGGAGAAACAACTGGGGAAACACAGGAAGCAGGGTAGCTTTCAGGACCCAACCCTTCTTCAGGGTAGGAAGAAGAAGGTCATACCTAAGCAAAGGGCTTACGTACCTGCAAGAGTGCGTCTCTTATTAGATGAGACTAATAAAAAAGGCACTCCACCAGTCCTGATCTCTGAATTTTAAATAGGTATTAACTAAACTTGATCTCTGATTCCCTCTTCGGGACCTCCTCCTCTGCTGTCAATTCACAGCTACAACAAAGCCACCCCTGTAAAGCTTTCAAAGGAATTGCATTCCCTTGTGGGCAGAAATCACATTGAAAAACAAGATCTCTCTACAGATAGCTGTGGCCAGCTGGGTCTATAAATGATGTTCACAGGACCAGCTCACTGACTACAGCCCGTGGAGGCTTTTTTCCCTAAACCTATGAGAATATGGCTGTTAAATGTAATGTTAGATTTTATGCCCTAAATGCTTAGCAGTTCAGGGATTTTTTATTACTTCAAATTCTGTTTCAACAAAATGCTTAAGCAGGTACTTAACTTCAAGCACCGATCGTCCCCAGAAGACAACAGTAAATCTATATGATTGTGCTAGCCCCAGGCTTGGGCTCTGAAGCCTGCTCTCTTCTCTCCCCAACTTTCTTATTCACCAGGCAATGTAGGTACGCAGGGTTTGCACTCATGTTGCAATAATTTGAGTCTCAACTCAAAAACAGCTGCCACAGGCAGTGCCTGTGTGATCATAAAAATTCTTCTTCAACCTAAACTTAACTACTTGCTGAAGTTTTCTGCCAAATCGGGGTCTTCAATGTAATGCATACCCAGGGAGAGCTGCTTAATTGTAGTACAACTTTACTTCTCTGCCATGCAAATCCCACACTCATCTGAGTGACTCTCCTTAATTATCGGATCTACTCATCTCAACCATCCACCTTATTTGACGAAGCGCTAGCCAAGCAAAACTGAACGCAACAACAAAGTCATTAGCGAGCTTTATGAAAATAACAGTTCTCCCTTTCCACAGCAAAATTCATCAGCCTTGGAACTCCTGCCCTTGAGTGGGGAGTACAGACCCTTCCAACACTGAACTCCCTATAAAATAATGCAGCTCTTTGAGCTCCTTGCTATGTTTACAGATATATAGAGATAGCTACAATGCAAATGTTTACAGTAATTTTGCATACCCTATATGAAATAAATATCACAAGTAAATTCTAATACTCAAAACTGAATAGTATACAATGTTAGGGACTAAGTTACATTTATAAATGCATAAGCATTAATACTATCTATTGAGCGTAATTTCTTAGAATGCAAGCTTCAGCAGTTGCTAGCTACACTACACTTCAGGAGTCATAATAAATGTTGGTCATGCCAAAATCTAAAAAGAAACAAAACCACAAAAATTCTCCACCATCCTTCCAAACGATAAACAGCTTTTGGCAGATAATGCAATAATTTAGTGGTTTCACAAAATTCATTAACACTGTCCAGTATTAAATATCAAGTCTGGTACACAGGTCTCTATGTTCTAAATGAACTCAAAATCAGAGCAGGAGCAAGTGGTTTGTCAGCGCTGTGTCCACACATAGCAAAAGCAGAGACAGCAAGAGTCTGTACCCGGACCCGAGCTGCAATTACCCAGAATAAAGTGAGAATAGGGGCAGCTTCAATGGTAAAAGGGGGGAGAGGGAGAAAGGAGGGACCAGACCCAGCCCCAGTTACAACTGCTGATGGAGAATAGTTTGAAGAAATAGCCTAGACTCTATAGCTGGGTCTTGCCAGCAGAGTCCTCAAAAATGATCCCCTTCCCCAAAAGCCAGTGATCGCACATAGGAGCTCTGACAGCAAGAGTCAGTTACAGATTGTGCCTGCTTAGGACAGAAAGTTTGCTGTGCCCATGGCACATGGGGCCACTTATTCTCTGTATCCTAATAAAAGTATTTCTGCCAACAATTTCTCATGGAGGAAGTGGGTGATTCACAAGTACATCTCCTTTCAGGAAAGAAAAGATCTCACTCACTCAATACCCTGACTCAATTGCAGCTCACGCTACAGAATAATAAAATCTATATCCTGCCCTGGAAATTGGCTTACACTTTAGATCATGCCACTTTTCTCATCTTGCAATGAGGTTCGTGAAGAGGATCTTCCTAGCAACAGCTCCTTCTCATGGATCAGGCTATCTAGCAGGTCCTCCTGTCTGTAGTTGTGATAAACCTTCAGGAAAGCCAGAATAGTAATTCCCAGCCAAGTCAGCCAGGCAGCCCAGAGACCAAACTAGAGGAGAAAAGAAACAATAAAGAGGTCAGTACTGTATTGGAAAAACAAAGTGAACTCTCCAGGTAAATATCAAAATCTCAGTTGGACCAAATCCCTTGAAGTCACACCAAGTGAAGCCCTGGCCCCAGTGTTCCTCAACTCTGTCAAGCTATTCCTAGCTTAAAAGGAAAAACTCTTTATGTACTACAAAAAATGAAGCAAAACTGCACTAAGTACAATAATGAAACAAAGAAATCTGTATAATCCATTTGCATCCCTTGAACTTCCCATATCTGACATTCTGGCCGGCTGAAAATTCTTGGGATTATTTCTTCTTTTTTACTTTAGCACTGCAATACGTTTTAAGAAATTATGGAAAACTTTCTTCCCAAGTCCTTTGGACCTCCCACTGCCCCTGGAGAAGTACAAATTTTAAGGTCAAATTTCTATTCAAAACATGGTTGATAAAATCTTACCAATTGAACTGTTACACTCTCAGGTAACTGGTTCGCATTGGCATGAACACAGAGAGTGAGAAAAACCTACTCAAATCCATCCAAGTTCCTGATGGCTCATTTATACCTCGCATGAGATACCTGGACTTAAAGCCTCAGATCTGCAAGAGGCTCTATCACCAACTTGCCAGTATCTCTTGTTTAACTTCATAGAAATAGTTACACTTTGATTTGTACAGGTACTTGAACGTTGGCCTCCTCGTCTCAGAGGACACTCACTTGTAGTAAGACTTTCTGGCTGAAATTCCATTTTAATTCTATGATGCCTTTAGCAAAGAAACATTAATTGAATCCCCCTATTTCAGTGTTGACATATTGCATTTTTAATTAAAAAAAAAATAATACAACAATTTGAACACTTCCAGACAGTAATACAGCTGTTTACTCTAATAGCCAATTTAGATAAGCAAGGACTACTATTTTTTAAAGGGAGTTTATGTTCCTATGTATTCTGTGCACTTTGGAAATTCTCTTCAGCATTTATGCCCATACTTATAATTATCTCAGTTCACTGGTAAATACTTTTGAGTTATTCTACAGACTTTGGAAATAAGAGATACTAATTTGGCTTTATATGCCAGACATTATTCTGAACAGCAATGAAGGGCTCCAGGACACCAGGATGTTCCAACATTTGCACAGTTCATCCTTTGGAGAAATAATAAATTTTCCATCATGAGTAACCACATCAGTGGCCGAGTCAGGTTTTGACATGTCCACATTCAAAGCTATCTATTTTGCATTTAAAACGTAAATGTGGCTGTCACTATCATCCTGAAAGAGCACTGTCAGAAGTCAGTGGAAACATTCCCATTGATTTCAGAGGATGGTAGTTCAGCTCCAGCTATCCCAGATCAATGAGCAAATGGTAAATGAACTGGAATAGAACCATGACCTAGTCCGACCTACCTGTGCAATAGCAAACTGGTCGTAGAAAGCAGAGTTTTCTAAGTTCAGTTCAAGATCTATATCCTGTAACTCTTCACAGCTACCCAAGGAAGGCATTTGGAGAGGAAAAAAGAAAATTATTTCAGAGACTCCAAACAGGCTGGCCAAACATAAAACAGAGCAACATTGTGAGTGTTTCGAACAGTCATAACGGAATGTTCTATCAAGATATTTAAGCCATTGCAGTAACGAGGTTGCTTGCCAGTCTTCCCTAAAACTAGGCTAAAAGAGGCATGTGATTACTTTCTTTGAAAAAAAAAACAAAAAAGAAAAGAAAAAGTATAATTAGGTAAGCGATAACACCAATTATCCACAAGTGGAACTGTAATAGTTATTATGAAAACAGCATGAGTAAAACCCTTTTCTCCCACTACCCCCGAGCCTCCCACACATCTGGCATCACCCCAGGTTGGTTGCTTCACCCCTCAAATGAAACAAAGCGCATGAGCCTCCGTTACCTTTTGACTTCATCAGGAAAAGCCTCAGAAGAAGGGATTGTGTGGGTGTTTTTGTTTCGGATGCTCCAGCAAGGAGACGATACTCTGATGGTAAGATAGAGGCTGCCTACAGATTTTACAAATAACTTGGACTTTTACTGGTGTGAAAAAAATCCCAGGATTTTGAGGTTGTCTTTCTATCTCTTGGTTGATTTCTGTAGCCTCTTCTCTCTCCTTTTCAGTGCTGTCGGTCATCTTGGGTTCTTATCCGAATATTCGATTAGACGTTTTTTGTAATTGAATTTTTAACCGAATATTCGAATAATTCGATTAATCGTTGCAGCCCTAAACAGAACATGTACTATGGCATTTTACAACATATGACAATGTGCAACATAAATGTATGCTTTAAGTAGTACGTCTATTCAATATCATGTGACATAAAATGTCACCTTTTCCTCTCTCTTCATTGTTATTTCTTTGATAGGAAAAAAAAAAATCTACCTCAACTTACCGTGTTTCCTATAAGGAGCATAAGCATTGTGGGATACAACTGTAGATACAACCATTTTAGGAGCTGTACATTTTGTGCACCATAAGAAAGTATCAACCACCTCTACTTTGGATTTACAAAGTACTTTTCATTCTGCGGCTCTCAGGGCATCCACAGCACTGTTATGAGGCCAGCATCTTTATACTAAATTTTGGATGATGCTGTGGCACAGGCAGGATGAGTGACTTGCCTGGTGTCACGCCGTGGGTCAGTGGCAGAGCCAGGACAGCAAGCCAGGAGTCCTGACTCCCAGTCCCCTGCCCTGCTCACACTCCCCCCATTCTTAGAGCGTTTCCAAATTTAGATGTCCTTTGGAAATAAAAATTTTTAAAGTAATGGATTTCTTTTTGCATATGATAGTGACTCTTAAAGACACCATGAAACTACATGGAAATGTACTTTTTTTTTTTAATGGGGTAATAGATGCAAAATAAAAGTTTAATTTGCTTTTTTTCTTCCAGATGACAAAAGTCTGGAGTTCCACATTACAAATGCTTTCTCCCCCTTGCTCTCCTTGTGTGTAATAACTACAGTTTGTAAGACCACTGTTCATTTGTGCACACATGAAAAAAAAACCAAAAAGGAAGAAAAAGTATTCTTCAATACTAACCTATTTGGCATGCTTCCTTTTTCAGTAATTGCATCACACCACATGTTAAATCCTACACTCACTATAGTGCTAGCAATAAATGTGATAAACACCACAAAGACGCTGATCAGCAGATTCAGGAAGGCATAAAAGAAAGAGCTGCAATAAAAGAGAAGAAAAATGTAACTCATAAAGAGCTGAAACACAACATCAGCAGTCTCTCTAAGCAGCATACACTGGGCACAAAGATAGCAGTTTCCATTTCAAATACATCTGCTTTAATTAAGAACACCTAATACATTGAAAAACTATGGATTATGATTTCGTCTCACATTATCTTCATTTGTAATTGCTTTTGATTTTTATTTTTTTTTTCACCATAAGAGGATGGGGCTTTAAATCATAAATGCTAAGTGGTGATTGTTCATACACAGCATGACTTTCATTAGCTGTAATGATGAAAATCACCATTGTTAAAATAAATGTCATTAGCTCAAATTATATAGTAACTGGAGCTAAAATTATTTCATGACTAAAGTGATAATTGGGACAAAAATTGCCTAGAAGAGGGAAACTAAAAATAAAACAACACAGTACTGATAGCTATAATCATTTTAAGTAATGTAACACAAGGTACTGCCACCAAAGGACACGAATCTCAGTTTTATGGGCAATTTGCAGAGCAGGCCAGCTTCTCCTGGGACTTCTCTGACTTTGGTGTCAGTATGTTATTTCAGCCAGACGAATATCAACTTACCTCAGCCCTGTTAAGTCTGCCCAGCCAGAGCCAGCCCTGGGCACATGCTGTGTTTGGAGTGGGGTGGGATGCTTACAGAGATGTCGTAAGGCCAGGGAAATGTCCACTCGTCTTCCAACCTCACTGCTTAACTCCTCCCCTTAGTTCTAGGTCATGAAAACTTTCTAATTCTTTTCTCATTCATCTGACCGAGTCTTTTGCTACTTGAAACTGCTCCAGGCAGCACTTGGAAAGGTCTCATTATCTAAAAACTGTACCTCTACTCTAGGTTGGAGAAAGACTGGCAACTCCAGGAGACAGGTCATCCTAGTCAGGTTAGGTGGTAAGGATGAATATGACAAATTTCCCACTAGTGCTGGGTACAGAAGGAGTCTACTCAATGCAAAAAAACAAAAAGCAGATTTTTTTTTAACTCTGGTAGCTCATTAAGTGAAAAACTGAGAGATTTTTTGAGTAAGTGTTTAAATCCTGTTCTGGGCTGGTCAATCCTAGTGATAAGACAAGGGGTAATGATTTTAAATGGAAAGAGGGGAGGTTTAGATTAGATTTTAAGAAAAAATTCTTTCCTGTGAGGGTGGTGAGACACTGGAACAGGTTGCCCAGAGGAGCTGTGGCTGCCCCATCCCTGGAGGTGTCCAAGGCCAGGCTGGATGGGGCTTGGAGCAACCTGGTCTGGTGGGAGGTGTCCCTGCCCATGGCAGGGTGTTGGAACTGGATGGTCTTTAAGGTCCCTTCCAACCCGAACCATTCTATGATTCTATGATCCTAATTTGTACAGGTTATACATTGTAAGACGTAGGTAACTTCAGGAGGACTTCTTTAAAATGTGATGAGGAATCAATTAGCAGTGGGGTTAGGAAGTTTGTTCCTGGGTTAATGTGGCTTTAGAGGGACTCTCTAGGTTTCCTCCAAAGTGACAGTCATCCCATTCCAACACTGATAGAAAAAAAGTGAAAAAAAAAAAAAGCTCACCTTTATCTCTCCATGCAAACAGACCTGTTTTCACGCCTGTTTGAAGCATTAACAAATAAGCTGTCTAAAATCAGAACAGCTTGTGCCCTGCCTCCTTTTCAGAGAGACAGTGGCATATCTGGGACAGGACAGACCTTCCCTCTTACTAGGAAACTGATGGTTTCTAGCACCTTCCCTCTCAACTTCTTTGACCCTTCTGGGATGTTCTATGGCTGTCTTGTCCTGCCAACTTCCTCTGTCTTTGCTCCCCCTCATCCCACAGCCCTTCTGTCTTTTTTCTTGCCTGGAACTATTTTTAACAGTGTTAGACAACTGCTAACCCTCAGCGCAAAGTTAGCCTGAAGGTAACTCCTAAAAGGGCAATTTTCAGGGGCCTGCTTAATAGTTTTGAACTAAATAGCCACATTTGGAAGTTGGTTAAACATCTGATCCAAATTTCACTATCACAAGGTTTTCACGGCTGGTTTCTTCCAAAAATTAACTAGTTCTCAACTGCAAAACTGAAAATAAGCATCTAGATTCAACTAATCTTCTACACGTACCTGGTCACCTGAGGAAGCGGAATATTAAGTATATGGCTATATTTAGAACTTGTATGGCAAGTTTTAATATGGAAATAAGTTTCTAGTCTGTACTTATTATAGACTACAGGCTATATAGACTGGTTTAGTGTCAACTTGAGAGTGGTCAGAAGGAGCCAGTGAGACAACACTGCTACCTAGTCCCCAATATTAACAGCCCCAGGGTGCTGTATAAGCCCAAATGTGCATAACAACCACTGACTAAAGAAACCTCCGATCCAAACAGACCTGGAAATGAGTGATTCACCCTTGGTATGGTCCCTAAATGTGGGAAAATGGCTTTCCTAGTCTGCCCAGCCACCAATGCATGCTCCTGCCTTCCCACCTCTGTGCAGCTGGATGCTTGGAGGACCCTAACTGGGTTACCTGTGCCAGGGACTGTACCCAAGGTGGTAGGACAGGCCACCAGAGAGCCAAATGAGCTCCTCAGTTTGTGTGAGCACAGTCACCAGCTGCCAGTGCAGCCCTGCGGCTGCTGCGGGGAGCTCAGTGCTGCTCTCATGTCGTAACCAAGCAATAGATGTTCTCCGCAATAGTTGCCATGTCCACCACGAAAGCAGGATAAAAATAGAGGGGGACCACCAACCGCTCCCTTCTGCCCCCTCCCACGCACAGCCGTGTTGTTTCAAGGGTTTTGACATACCCAGTGTACGTCTGGGGAAGGCCCCCCCCTTTGCAGGGACACGTAGTTGGGACCACGGTCAGGAGGTACCTACGAACCCCAGCCTCCAACATCGGACCATGGTCCCCAGGACCTGTCATGCCCACCACAGCAGAGATCTGGCCAGATGCTGCTCCCAGCCTGCCAAAGGGTCCATAGCAGTGAATCTGGCCCCCCCACCTTAAGCCCCTGCAGAGGAGCATCCTCCCAAGAGGACCCTAGACACAGGTCGGGGGGTACATGATGTGTGTGCAGATGGATACAGGCAATACTCCACCTCACCCCAAACCCATCTAGGGAGCAGGATGATCTGGGTGGTGCAGAGCCCGATGCTTCACCCCCAGGCTGCTCCCCCTTGCCCCATCCTGCAGGAGGGATGGGCACCCCCTGCCCTCCCCGAGGGGTACTTACTCCTCGTGCCCTTTGCAGAGGAAGAAGAGGGTCCTCCAGGCCTGCACTGTGGCCAGCAGCAGGGAGAGGAGCCCGGTGAAGATGCTGAAGCGGCAGGCAGCCTCGGGCCCCCACTCCTGCACGGTGAAGTTGGGGGGGTACATGATGTGTGTGTAGATGGATACAGGCAATACACCACCTCACCCCAAACCCATCTAGGGAGCAGGATGATCTGAGTGATGCAAAGCCCGCTGCACCCCCAGGCTGCTCCCCCTTGCCCCATCCTGCAGGAGGGATGGGCACCCCCTGCCCTCCCCGAGGGGTACTTACTCCTCGTGCCCTTTGCAGAGGAAGAAGAGGGTCCTCCAGGCCTGCACTGTGGCCAGCAGCAGGGAGAGGAGCCCGGTGAAGATGCTGAAGCGGCAGGCAGCCTCGGGCCCCCACTCCTGCACGGTGAAGCGCTGCCTCTCCACCGTCAGGTTGGCGTTGAGCCACATGCCCTCGGTGAAGAGCAGGCACCGGCCGTGGAAGTCGTTGCCATTCTCGGAGAGTGGCACCACCACGATGAAGCTGAAGAGGAAGGCCAGGAAGTAGCAGATGCACTGAGCGAAGAGGAAATTGCTGAGCGCCATGTCGGCGGCTCTGCGCAGGCAGAGGGAGGAAGGGAGGGAGGGAGGGAGGGATGGAGGGAAGGATGGACGGGTGACATTAGTGTCCGATTGAGGGATGGAGAGAGGGATGGAGGGAAGGTGGGGGAGGATGGAGGGATGGAGGGAGGAAGCCTGCAGCAGCAGGGGGTGGGGAGGGAGGATGCGCAGTGCAATGCAATGCAATGACTCCTCCAGACACAGCTGCTGCCTCTCCCGTGTCTGGATTCAGGGCTTGTTGGGGGAGATGAGAGGAACAGCTGGTTCAGGAGATCCCTCTGCTTCGGAGAGAATCCGGCTGCTGATACACCCTGGTCCCCAGGGGGTTAAATCAGTCCGTGCTTCCCCAGCAGGGCTGGGTACCACCGGGTTCTCAGTGGGGTATCCCCTTAATGACATAGGACACTGATGTCACGGTGTTGGTCACCCTGACACACCCCCTATCCACCAAAAAAAAAGAAGGAAAAAAAAACCCCAACAAACAAACAAAAAACCGGTGTTGGTCACCGAGACACACCCCCATCCATCAAAAAAAAAGAAGGAAAAAACCCCCCAACAAACAAACAAAAAACCAGCTTCATCCTGGCTGCTGGATCTCTGCAAGTTTTAGCCCCATATTGTAAAAATCTGGCCACCAACCTCAGGTGGTGGCAATAAGGGACAGGGTGCAGGGCCACCCTGGGGCCTGCAGACCGAGTGGGTTTGTTCCTAGTCCAGCTGGTCACACACACATAAAGATATTGCAAGTGGTGGTAAGGGCTCACCAGAAGTGGAATAACTTTGGTTGAGCCTCAGTGTCAGCTGCCCGGGGCTGGGGTCACCTGCATTGTCCCCCTGGCTGGCAGAAGGAGTAGGGGTAAAAGAAAATAATCCTGAGCTCCAGGTGGACACTGAGCTGAGAAGGGACCAACACAGCAATGGCATGTGCACTGCAGGGACGGTCACCAATCACTCAATTCCTAGGGGTGAGCATCCGCCCTGCTCTGCACTCCCAGGGACCAGTTTCCTGCCCTACACGGCTCTTGGAAAGGCATCAGAGCATCCCCTCTCAGTTTTAGGGCCCCAAACTGTAGGGCCAGGATGCAAGACAGCAAAAGGCATCAGAAAGAGGGGTGTGACTTGTGCTCACCCGCTTGTGCTGCTGCCTTGTGAAATCTCAGTTCTCCCCTGGCACAACAATTCAAAATAAACTCACCCCAAATTAGAGTTTCCCCTCAATCCCGATTTCATTTTTCCATCTAAACATGAATCCTCTCTCCCTAACACGAGGCGCCGCAGTTCACCTCCAATTCCAGGTAAAGTCATTTCCAAATCCAATTTCCTAGGCATACCCAGTCTGAGATGAACTGCAAATCCCAGATGATTTCTTAATCCCAGGGTTGTTTCTGCTCATTTTAGGCACTTGCTACTTCCCACATAGTATTTAGAAGAGCAGATGAGGGACTGGGACCCCAAATATACTGCACATGGGACTTCAGGCTTGTGTTTCCATTGGACAGCAAAACAATTATTTTTCTATGCTGTTAAGAGGTTACAGATACAGTCCTGAGGCAGGCACTGGGGAGATTCTCAGAGAAGATATGAATTCAGCTTCATTGTAAATCGTTTGGAATGCATATTATCTTGAAATCTTGCTCCACTCAACAGGGAAAGTATTTTCTCCTGTGGATCCTGCTTCTTGAATAAAAACTTTTGTCAGTATATATGAAATGATTCAGGCCATTTTTCTGATACTTACGCAATTCTGATCATTAAAAATTGTATTTCAGTTTTGCAAGACAAATTATAAGGCACTGGCCTGGCACTGTGGGGATAGACATGCACTCCTAACGGGAAAGATTTTGCTGATATTTCAGTCTGGTAGTAAGGAGGAAAGTTTATTGCTCTTAACCTTGCTTCCAAAAAAGTAGTGGGTTCCCAAAGGGTTTTGTCCCTTATCTGGAAGGAAATCAGAACCGGTTTGAGGTGGAAAACTCTTTTCTTTGAAGTCTGACACAACAGATTTGCCAGGTAATGCTTTCTGAAGTTAACTTGGGAGGTCAGCAGCAACATAAAAGCTCAGTTATAGCTTACACTGGGGCTTGCAGAAGGGACCAGCAGATGCCCAGGGCATTTTGCCTCGGGCAAGCCCAGTGCTCAGATCTTACCACCAGCAGCCACAGGGCTCAGTTGCAGGAGGGTTATTGCAGAGGTGAAACGTGAGGGTCACTTGTGGAGCACATGAAGTTGTCTTTGCTGATGAACAAACTCAAGCGGGCATTTATGGGAGAGTCTCAGAAAATGCAGTTGGGCATCTGCAAATGTTAACAGACATGTAAAAGAGCTGCACTTAGCAGGCTGACAGCTACTGAGACGCAGCTCTTGGTCGGATGGAGCGACCACACACCAGAGTGAGCAAAGACTTAGATATCACACCTGTCAACCATCACACGTTTCACAGCTGCCTGGATTTCTCATGCTCTTCTCTCACGTAAATCCTTTTAAAAAAAAAATTACACTAGGCAGGAACTTAGTGCCTGAAATATACAGCTGCTTTAGTGGAATAAATTCTATTTTTACATTTTACATTTTACAAAGAAGACTTAAATAGGCTTCATTTCCTTAAAATGGTGCGACTGGGGGAGAAAGGGAAAAGGCAAGGTGAATAATTATTCATTCTTTCACGTATCTCAGGGAATCAAATACACAGATGAGGTAGAAATTTTAAAATAGAGGAAAAGATGCACGTCTTTCACACAGCACATAATCATTCTGTGGCACTCATCACAGGACACTGCAAAGGCCAAAATTAAATGCCAGTTCAAAAAGAGATTAGAGAAAACTCATAGGAAAATAAAGCCCATCAGGGGCTGCTAAACACGGAGCTGGGGAAGTAACCTTCAGCTCAGGAAGTCCCTGAACAGCAGGTTGCTGGGAAGCAACCAGAGCTACAAAATAAGCACTCTGCATTTGCCAGAATCCTCCATTCTTTCCTCAGCCAGGTGTCTGCTACTGGCTCTCATTGGAGATGGGATCCCAGGTGAGATGGTCCTTTGGTCTGACTCGTTATGGCCATTCCAGGATCTCACTATAACAGCTGACATGATTCTCCTGCTGTCTCAGCTTTGTCATGGAAGCAGGGACAGCCGTTCCTCCACAGAAACCCCTGTACAACCCCAGACCTTCTTGCCCACAACTCAGAGGGGGTTGCTCGCTCCTGGGCACCCACCTTCCTGCACAAGAACTGAACTCCCATCTCCCATAGGGGAGAAACCCCAAGGGGACCATGTGCTGACATAGGATTGAAGATGGCTCACTCCGCATCAGAGAGGGTGATATTGAAAGTTTGTAAATTTTACTTGTCTGGGGGGAAAAAAAAAAGCCACAAAAATAAAACAGGCTGCAGGATCAACCACCGTTGTACCTCAGTGATAAGCAGAAAACCAACCTGGATAAATCAAGATCAGATATACCATATTTGCCTGTATTCCCCTCAGCCCCATATCTCCTTCTAGTCGCCTGGCTAATCCTCTGTAGATCAAACATCACCGTGCGAGTTGGACTGATGTGGAATGACTGATGGGGATGTGGTTTTGGCTGTGCTGCTCCACGCTCCCTCTCAAGTCATTAATTCTGCCATCTGACATGAGCACTGCTCTCAAGTTGATATTTGTGAGGTAAGTGATGAATTTCCTCTCCTCTTGATAGCTCATTAGGACATGTTTTATTATGGGAAAAATTGCTGAGGAATTAATTATTCAGGCAAAAACATTTTTGTGAGCAACTTTACTTTTTATATATTTATTTTACTTGGATATATCATTTCTGTGGTCCAAGAAAAATAATAGCTGCGTGTCTAGAAGGTGGCTACCATCTTGATACCAGTAACATGCTGTTTATTTCTGGAGAGGAGGCACAGAGTCATAACAGTGTCTCCACAGAAGGATGCCCAGGGAGCAGTATATCTGTTTTCTAGGCAGAGAAAGCCACTCCAAATGGCTGCTTTTGAGCCAGCCCTTTGGTCACCCAAAGGCTACTTCTCCCTGATTTACTCCAACTCAAATGGCTGCCTCAGCCCATTTTACAGAATGGTTTAGCAAATTTTTTGTTTTGCCCCTTTAATGCAGTAAACCAGCTCCAGGCTCTGAAGTTTATTTTATTTAAACTCTGGTCTGTTTTATTATTATATTAATTCATTATTATTATTCCACAAGTCTCGACCTATGGTATTTGCCCTCTGAAACCAACAGAAAGGACCCAGGCATCCTGCATATCACCTCATGGTAGTTACTGCCAAGCACTGCGTTTTGGGAGAGGCTTCTCGTGCCAATCAGTGTCTTTAAGAAGGTGTCTGCCACTAGTTCAGAGGGATTATAGACAAAATACATAACTGTCAGCCACCTGTCACATCTGCATTTCTTCACAGCTACTACTGCGTCATGAATCTCTCAGGGCATCTCATCTGGGACCATCTTGACATTTTGCTTTTTTTTTTTTTTTTCTGCAAGCATTTTTTTTTTTAAATGTATCTCCATTCTGCTAGGAAGCTGTCTCGTCTGCGGGAGGTTATGGGCAGAGAAGGTGCCACGTGGACAGACATTAAAAGAGCAGTTGTCAGGAAGCAACTGAATGCCATTAATGTCCAGATACAATAACCAGTGTATTGTGGTACCCAAAGAAAAACAAACATATTCAAACCTATTTGCACTCTGAACTGAACAAGGCCAGGCTGTGGTTAAAATATATATTTTTTTTAAATAAATAAATAAAATTTAAGGTTTTCAGAGCATCATTAACCCTAAGCTCAGAGTGACTAGTGCATGTCAGATTCCACACAGCACCTCACAATGTGTGAGAACTATAACAGCCAGTGGGGACATGGGGCCAAAATGGCACATTATTTGCTCCCCTGCCTTTCAAGGAGGACAGAGGTAATGACAAGGCTAGGACAAATTCTAACAAGGCTCTGACCCCAGGTTCTGCGCAGGTGAAGAGTGCATCAAAAAAAACACAAGCTTCAAGAATAAATGGGTTTATTCCTTCTGGCACCAAAAAAGGTGTAAGAAAAGCATGGGAGACTTGGAGAGTGCTTAAAAGAATAAAAGGAATGGAAGAGGGAAAAAAAGATGATCAGCAAATTAGGAACCCACAGAGTC